CATATATGAGGGTATGCTTTAGGACATTTCTCAAAAGTCCATGTGAATCAGTATCTTAAAAATCAGTGCGACAAATTACACAATTTGTCTGCGGTCTACAGTAGACGGTAATTCCTCTATAGGAAGAGCATACTGTACTTGTTTTATTTAAAGCACATCTCTAAAAAATGGAAATGTAGCAGCATTAAATATTTGTTCTGGCCATACTAAAACCCCCAAAATATATATTTGCTCTTTCATCCCAGGAAAAATTGATGTGGTTTTAATTTTAATTTTTTTGATTGAAATTTGCATACATGCATACATACATGCAAAGATTTGGACTGAAACAGAAAACAAACATTTCTCCATTCTACCATAGGTGGCGCACTTCACTGTTATGCAAAATTGAAAAAAAAATGTGTGAGGCACAGGTTTAGTGCACGATAAACAAGAAACAAAACCTATTTGTGGGCCTTATAACAATGAATCTAATTTTACAAAATAATTTAAACAAGCAGCCTATCGGCTGAAATAGCTCCGCTGTTAGCAATGCACATTTCAATTAAAGAACTGAAGACATCATTAGAAAATGAACAATATGTATAGTATCAAAGCAATCGGACTTACAATTTTTAACAAGAAGTCGAAAATATCATTTTCTACCAAAAATGCCAAAAATATTCACCAAAATTAGAGAATTTAAGATATCATCAGTCACGAAATGAACAAATCTGAGAAAGGTCCACATTTAGTACCTATATATGTAATATCAAAGCAATTGGACTTGCGGTTTTCAACAAGAAGTCGAAAATATCACTTTTTACCAAAAATGACAAAAATATTCACCAAAATTAAAGAATCGAAGATATCATCACGAAATGAACAAATCTGCGAAAAGTCTACATGTAGTATCAATATACGTAATATCAAAGCAATTGAACTATTGGTTTTTAACAAAAAGTCGAAACTATCATTTTTTACCAAAAATGACAAAAATATTCACCAAAATTAGAGAATTGAAGACATCATCACAAAATGAACAAATCTGAGAGAGGTCCACATGTAGTACCTATATATGTAATATCAAAGCAATTGGACTTGCGGTTTTTAACAAGAAGTCGAAAATATCATTTTTTACCAAAAATGACAAAAATATTCACCAAAATTAGAAAATTAAAGATATCATCACGAAATGAACAAACCTGAGAGAGGTCCACATGTAGTACCAATATATATAATATCAAAGCAATTGGACTTGCGGTTTTCAACAAGAAGTCGAAAATATCACTTTTTACCAAAAATGACAAAAATATTCATCAAAATTAGAGAATTTAAGTTATCATCATGAAATAAACAAATCTAAGAGAGGTCTATCCAAGGTACATATTCACCAAGTATCAAAGCATTCAGGCTTGTAGTTTTCAAGAAGAAGTCGAAAAAGTAAACATTGACACGGACGACGGACGACGTACGACGACGACGACGACGACGGACGACACCGGACAATGACAGACAATCACTCATATGATAAGCTCCGCTCGACAAAGTCGACAGCGGAGCTAAAAAGTAAAACATTGACACAAACGCCGGACGACAGACGATGGACGACGACGGATAATTACTCATATGATAAGCTCCGCTCGACAAAGTCGACAGTGGAGCTAAAAAACTGTATGTCCCATGTAGTGAGGATTATGTCACAACTACCGGGTATATTCCAATATAACAAATTTACTACTATGCTAAAGTTATTGATGAAACAGAAGATATTAGAGAAGTGACATCACGATCAAAATAACTCTGCCGTCTTTGTAGCTATCTTAAAATAAAGTTGATTATGTTTTGTACAATGACATCCATGTCCACCCTTTCATCTTCAATGACAGTGAAGCTAGAAAAATCAATTACCATTATAATATTTTTACTTTTTACCAAATTTTTAGTGAAAATGAAATGCTGTTAAACCATTTATTATTTATTTATTTAGACTTAAAGTAAAACTCCTCAAATTTATTTTATAATCCAACATTGTAGTAAGTCATCACTAAAATTATGCACATCTGATTTAGTGTGACTTAGATCTGCTTTTAGGTTTAACATTTCAAAAGTTTGCCAGAAAACAAAAACAATTAAATATTTTGTTAATTTGTTTGAAAATAGAAAATATTGTATTTCCTCTATTAAAAGCACATCTCCAATAGACACACATACATGTATAAACCAAAAATTACATTTGTTATACATGTATCTTGAATCATTTAAATATTACTTATTTCAGCCATAAATAAACCTCTGTAATTTATGCATAGACAAACTACTAGTACATGTATATGTGGTAAGAATTCCCAGTCACCGAAGGATGCGTATTCATAACCTACCTAGCAACTGACAAGGGTAGGACAAAAATATAAAAAGTCAAATAACAATAAACAGGCAACCCTGGAAGAAGTCAGCAGCATACATTGTATTTGTTTTTAAAAGATAGCACAAAACATGTACAAAAGGGGCCAGCTGGAATAACTCAATAGGGCAGCTGAGAAACGTGGATTACCAGTTGAAACAAATTCAGACGAAAAATATTCAGAGGCTGACACAAGTTGGTTGAAAGATGATAAGGCACTTTTATTCGAGGGGATTTTTTACGCTGCGAGTTGAAGACATTGATGAGCGGTGTATTGTGACTGTGCGCATTTAGAACATTCAAAATCTGTCCTACCTGCCGGTGTTGACTTCGGGTCACGCGATATCCCAAACGCTATCAATTTGGGAATGGTCAAAAGAGCTATAATATCACTTATGACTTGTGTTAAGTTACATACATGTAGGAATACTACTGGTACTTGGATTTGAGATGAATTCTGATAGTGAACTAAATTACTAATTACTAGGAAATTACTTTGTGTTACAAGTACTGATACATGTATTTAATTATTTATTTTTATACATTGAAAGTTCTTACATGTAGTCCCTCCCTGACAGTTTGCTCCAGACAGGTCCTTTAAACATCCATAAAATCACAAGAGCACAGATATAATTGCCACAGATTTTTACGATATCAAACACCTACTTAAAACATTTACATGTACATAACAGAATACCAAAAATTTTTCAAACTGTTATTGATTTGGAGTCAAAAAGAATCCTTAAACTCACAGTTGAGAGGAGAACAAAAATAACTTGTGACTAGAATACCAGCAGATTCAACCAGAGGTAAAAATATCCAAATTTAAAAATGGGAATTTCAGTAAAACATTATCTATGCTATTATTTCAAAAAAATTCATCAAATTTATTATTTATCATACTGATAACAGAATAAGTTAAATAAAAAAAACAGCCTAAAGACTGATTAAGCGTGATTTGAATCACCAGAAACAATTTTCAGTACATTCTAAAATATACGCTAAAAAATTCACTCCATTTTGTACACTGCATGATGGGAAAAGGAAGACAGACTATATATTACATAGAGCCCAGCTTACAGTATTATTACAGCAGACAAGCATTAAACCCTCCCTGCTGTCTTCTACCCAGACATATTCCTGCATGGTATCATACAAGTCAATAAGATTACCATTAGAAAATTTAACCGACTTCTTAGATTCAGAGTTTAGATTTTTTTTTATTCTGTGCTGCACATACACATATGCTAAATATGCTAAAACCCAGTAAATTTCAAATATACATTAGTAACCATAAAATGTATTTTTTCTTCACAAAAAAACAATGCAGGGATTTTTTTACACAAGGGAACAGGCGTGCAGCGCCCTCATGCCATGGCCATGCGCCCTTTACACTGGGGAGCAGATGCTCTGGCAACCATGAAATTCTGATTGACCAAGGATCACATGTGGCCACAGTCCTTAAACGTGACCTGTCTGATAGTAATTTTGGCCCCAAGGAAGCCATAGAATGCTCCAATTTAACTTAGAATTATCAAAAACTCAAAAACTAGGGAGAACCCTATTTTCCCCACTTGGTGGTGCTGCTGAACTGCAGTGCTCCCTCTTGCATTTTTTTTTCTAAAAAAAAAACCTGCAGTGAATTTTAAATACCAAACTCATTGTGAATATTTTTTTAAATTGTATAATAAAAATACAAGGCTAATGAGATTAATATTATAGTTTTTACTGTAAAACAGGATCTAATCATTCAGAGCCATATGACATGAGCATGATCAATAGATCATGATTAAAGAGCGGTGGTCGTCGCACAGCGCGTGTTTGAATTTCATGTAAATAAACAATGTGTTTTACACTCGTTGTATACGTCGTTATAAGTCTCATATCGAACAGGACTCGGAATGCGACTGCCGCCCTTTAAGGCTATTGCCTCATAAACGAATTGATCTAAAGATCATCATCCAGCTTATGCAACACATCATATGCAAACACTGAACACAGGTTCAATCCCAACTGAGTGACTTAATGGTGGCTTAAACATGCAAATTAGGTAATTAATATGCACAGTCTCAAACCTAAAATAATCAGGTCTATATCAGAAAGCATATAAGCACCAAATTTCAGTGAAATCTAGGACATGTACTGTAAAATCTGTATTAGAAACTGCATCCCTATTAGAAATCGCACTTATTCAATTGAGAACCAAAAATTCATCATTTCTCATCTGTGTAGGTGCTCTAATAGAAGCCGCATCCTATCTGTTGCATTGCACCATTTTAATAGAAGTTGCAGCTTCTAATACAGATTTTACATTACTTAATAGCATTTGCTAATTTATGCAAATTAGGCAATTAACATGCAGATATTTAACCCTAACCTTTTGTGGGCCAAAGTCATCTTCAGGCAACATTCACAAAATAGTTTATACAATGTAGTCTGCTCTTTTTCACATGAAATAGTGAAAATTTTTTGACCTAAAACTAGAAGCAATGTCACATTTTTAAGATTGAATTCAGTGAAAATGACAAAAATTTTAATCAATTTACACAAATTTAAGCAGAACAAAAAATTGACACTCAAATGCATGAAAATAAAAAATAATTAACAGAAAACAAACCTTTTTTCTACTTTGTCTTCAATAGCAGTGTCAACACTCGCTGATCGTTCACGTGCCTCAAGTCGAGATTTCATTCCATTATCGACTGGTCCTACACTTCTACTTAAAAACGTCTCTTCCTCATCATCAAGGAAATGATAATCACACATCAAGTCATCAGAAGCAAGGGAATCCATGTCACAAGAATCAAATTCACCTTGCAGTTCACTTATTTTAGGATTTTTTAACGGAATTGGTATCGGTACTTCACCAAAATTTGGAGATTTGAAGGGCGTTTTTGCATCCTTCACAAATGTTTTTTGTGTTTCTTTCACAGATGATGTTTCATTACAAATTGTATTTTGAGGATCAGATTTTGATTGTTTTCCATCTTCTGTTGGTTTAGCACAACTGTCATCAATCGACAGTGTCCTCATGCCAGTGCACAGTGTTTTCTCAATTTTTGACCTTACAGCAGCGAGCAACTCCTCGCCAGGACTTTCATTCTCTTGATTCAGTTCACATACAAGATTCTGCTTTGGCACTTCATGCCGTGGAGTACTTGTTGCCATACCTTTAATGGCTACCCTGAAATCCGATTGTGTGGGGGGTGTTGGTAAATCCTCTGACTGGATTGAATTTCCTGACAGTCCATCTATTTTCTTGATTCCTTCAATCCTATTTGAGACATCAAAACCTCGACTTAGGATCTCATTGTTTGACTTTATGATCGATGGAGACAAGATTTTGTTTGTGGGTAGTATGGGGTCATCAACACGTATTCCAGTCTTGGGTTTATCTAATGCATGTTCATTTCCTTTAACAAGTTTAGATGCTGGATTAGAGACAGCGGATACAGAATTAGCGGCATATACCTGCTTCAGCCCAGTATCTTTCTGAGATATTTTTATATCAGTCCCAGATTGCGCAGATCGAGTATTCTCCCCAAATACGCTTTTATATATGGGCAGTTTCATGTACACTTTTCCCCCATTTGTCACAGTTGGTTTGTTAGCAGTGGATGATGATATTGCACGGGAGGCTGAAGAACCATAGATGGGCACCTTACTACCATTTGTTGTTGATGAGGGTGCTGGTAATTTACTGGGTTGAACAAGATTTGGGTTTACAGATGGTGCTGTCGGTAATCTACTAGGTTGAATAGAATTTGGGATTACAGTAACTGAAGGAGAATCTCTCGGTTCTTTGTTTTCATCATTGATGGGACATACCGATCCAACACTACCACTACTACTACTTGATATAGAACTCTGGGAACTCCTAGAACCACCAAGAAAACCAAATCGTGAGCTTTTTGCTATTACTTCCTCGCCAAAAACTCTAGGAGGAGAACTGCCATTTTTATCTTTCTCTATTTTGGGTTTTATTTTTGGATTAGATCTGTTTTCCTCCTCCTTTAACACAGACAGCCTGTCCTCATACAAAGCAACTCTTTCAGAAGTAGATGTTAACTTTTGTACATTTTGTAACGATGGTCCTTTGTAGTTCTGTGAACCTGGTGGGCGAACATATGGAGTAAATCTCGTTGTTGCATAAAAAGCAGTTGCCATGGTTTCCGGCTTATTTAATTTTTTGGATGTTTTCTTCTTTTTTTTTGATTCCTTCACAGGCGAATCTTGATCTGAAGAATCACTTGTTTTTGATCTTTTCCTTCGAAATGATGGTAGTCGAGAAATAAACGATCTTCCCTTCTTATTGCCTCCCTTCCTCGGTGACAGGGATGTCGTAGAAGTATCTGACAAATCTGACATTATGATACAAGACACAAAGACTTAAAATAAAATGAATTCGTTTAACAGAATCATTGTTCGGTGCTTCCAAGCAACACATCCTCACATATTACTTCAGGTTGATCCACATCTAAAAAAAAAAGAAAGAACATTTTGAAATATTTTTATAAGTTTTTCAAGGAAATATTAATTAAATACAGGAAACTACCACCATTGTGAAACAGTTTTTATTCAGCAGACATATCCAGTTAGCATGCTTTCTATCAACATGGATCATGCTCGGTCCTAGTTGAAGTTTATATGACCATAAAGTACTAGTTATGATGCAAGCAATGTTTAGGCAGTGTAAAGAGTGTTATGTAACAATAGACTATTCAGAGAACATTGATGGAAGAGTACAATGCATACAGTTCTGGTGACAGTGCCTCTTTACAAATGGGCACCAATTTTTTTTTCCCACTAATATTTGGGTAAAAAAAAAAAAAAAATTTGGGTACATTTGTACATATTTTCTGTTATTTTCACTGAATTCAATCTTAATTTTAGACCAAGAAGACAAAATGTACCATTGTTACTAGTTTCCAACATTTCATGCGGAAGAGAACAGACTAAAAGTATATTGAGGATATATAGCCTGACATTTAGGCGTGAGTAAGCCTTCGCCGGCTGAACAGCATCAGACCTTACTAACGCCTGACAGAATAGTATGTCTCGTCGGCAAGATCAATACTGCGAATTCGCAAAGTTCACGCCTTCTTGCAATGAGTTAAAATGAGTATTCATTTTGGTGGTCATGCTAATACCATCGATCAAAGCAGTGTTTGTATTGTCAGCAAAAATCACAGACTGTTTTCAACAAGATGATAAACATTGCACGGAATTAAACTCTGCCATGAATGGTTACTTTTTGATGGCTATCACTAACTGACGTTTCTGCAATTTGATTGGTACCGTCAAAAAATCATCAGGAGAAATGAAAAACTACATCGTTCTGTCAAGATTGTGTTGGGTTTAGAGGCCGCAACGAACGCGACCTCATCAGATAGATAGTGCCTGAAGTGTCTCTGACACTCAAAGTGTTAAAGCGAAATGGTCATCACCTGCACACGCGCGGAAATTGAGTCCCAAGCGACGTTAACAACACACGCTATAAAAGCAAAGGTTCATGGGTAGACGCTTGTTTGTAAACAATGACACACTATGGCCACCTGAGGCATGCGTAGGTGACAACTCCCTTACTTTAATTAATGGTAATATTCACCATCACATTTACAAATGTACAATAGGAATTCCAAATCCTACAACATATGTCCTCTCCATGTCACAAAACATTTGTTTCAATAACAGCTAGGGCAGGGCAGTATTGAAATGAAAAGAAATTCCTAAAAATAAACACTGGATCATACATACCACTGGCTGGATTACCAGGGCATGGGCAGATTATTTTGGTTTAAACAATTTTTATAATACTCAGTGTTCATCTAAATTTCATTATATTCTGAGGCAATTTAAGAAAATGGCATAAGAAATGTAGGTGGGAATAAGGTAAATACAGTAATGATGACCATTTTGTCAGTTTTAGAATTTTTTCATTTTTCTTTTCAATAACTGATCACCAGTCGAAGATGTGTGCTTCTAATTCTGTTTCTCGGAATGTACAAATATATACAATTATGGAAAAGACTTTCAGTATCAGCAATCATCAATTTCATCTTAAACTCTCCGGGTTGGAGCATTTGTTTTTGTTTGTTGGAGCACTTTTAAAAATAAATAAATGAATGAATAAATGAATAAATGAATAAATGAATAAATGAATAAATAAATAAATAAATAAATAAATAAATAAATAAATAAATAAATAAATAAATAAATAAATAAATGAATAAATGAATGAATAAATGAATAAATGAATAAATGAATAAATGAATAAATAAATAAATAAAT